GGTTAGATGAAGGTCCTGGACTCTCTCCAAGAACCTACGTAAGCGTTCGGACCTAGCCGACTGCTCTTCCCAGCAGATGTTATAGTAACCTAACATGAAACCAACCTAGATACTATCTTGTTTGCATTATACAAGTATAGTTTGCATGTTCAGTTAAAAATAACACTCCCAGCAGATAGGGTACACCTTCACCAAAGTTCAGCCTGGGATTACAACTTGCCATTTCAGGGGTGAATGATTTGTCAAAAGCAATCATTTTTGGTTTGATGCCGTTCCTGTGTAGCACAGTGTATCATAAATACAATATACAGATGCACTCACTGTAAAGCTAAAGGACCTCTTCATTAAAATCTCACGATCTGAACCATGGTGTCCACGAGTAACCTTAGGATCAGGAAACAGGAAATCTCTTGTATTTTCTTCATAAGTTGCTAGAATTTCTCCAACTAAAAAAAGGAAAATATACATATATTTAATTGGAGAGCAGAGCAGGTTGTGCTATACAGACTCACTGATGTTGGTAAATCATGTGTATTTCATACATAAATAAGTAGCTATGTATTTCAGAAGACTTGTGGCTATGGATCAGAAATGTGTGCAGCTGCTAGAAAAGAATTTAGGTAGGATCTAAAACTGTACTTAAAGATGCTCAAAAGATCCTCTCCTGTAACTTTTTTTTTTTTTGAAGGGAGAAAAATTCCACAAGGAATATTATGAGAACTTTCACAATGTTGTGGATAGATGAGAGCTTTTAGGTGAAGTGATTTAATTCCAGGGGTTCTGAGATACTTTGCCAGAGGTTATACATCCCAGCACAAACTGACTGCAGTAAAACAAAAATCCACACACAGTTTATTTCTTTGTGTAAATATCCTGGTGAATCATTCGAGAGAAGCAAATATTTCCTTGGAACTACTAAGGACCTGTAACTGTGGGTACTTTTAATACCAGAGTTCCCAAATGAGTCCTCCTTCAAACTTGACTTTATTTCCAATAAAATGCAGATTTACATTATTCATGGGAACACTTGAATTTCATTAAGATAGATTTTTTATAATCACACAAACCAATAACAGAAGTATGACAAATCACTATTTATTATCTTCACATCTCCCTAGAGACCTGTAATATTTATAGCGAGCATAAGAGTTTTCCCAGTGGTCACCATTAAAATAAAAGAAGAAAGTGTCATTCTGAGAACAGGATTATGCACTTTGAAACTTCACAGGCAGACACTTTGCAAGTGAATGTTGATGCCTTTAATAAGTGCACATTGATGGTTTAAGTTTATTTTCAATTTCTAAAGTATTATCACTTTTGTAGGCCTGAGTACAGTACATTTCAATATTCAGCTTTAATTCTCTTCCAGAGATGAGATCCTCTCGATCTATTAACATTTTATATTCAGAGGACTATTTATTGAAGAGCTTTTTACATTGTTTGTATGCTGAAAAAAATGATTCTGCTGTAATGGGCTACATCCTCATGGAAATTCACCTATTAAACTGCATAATTTATGAAGGGACTAATACAATACCTGGAGGAACAAGTTGTATTAGTTCAAGTACTGCAGTGTCAACTGGAAAAGAGGGAAAACAGTTTTTTCATAAGTTAAAAAAATAAATGATAATTAGAGGTCACTTTGATATGCAAAATACAAGAGAAGTCATCTCCTGATTTAACTACCTCAACATTGTACATACTTGCACAGAAAAGAGGAGTTTTGATGTACCTATAATAACAACAGCAAGATTATAACCACTCCGTACAAATATATAAATCTAGACTAACGTAGTTGTATGACCAAAGTACAAGTTATTATTAGGCCAAGTTTACAATAAACAAACTAGAATTGCATAAAAAAGATCATTAAATCTGCTGGAAGTTTTTCCTAGACTCACATGTGAATTATCATTTTGAATAAGTACTATCTTAATGGTCACACATGTAGGTAGTGAGAACATTTTTTCTCTTCTCTGTCTAGCACAACTTTATATCTTTAGGCTCCATATTACTGGTATTGCCCACTAAAAGCTGAAATACAGCATAAAAAAAAAAGCAAAACTTACGTTCAAGTAGCTCAACAAGGTCTCCAGGATCAACAACATCAGTAAATACCTGAAACAGACATGGAAAGAGAAAAAAATAATAATTCTCATCAAACGCTTTCATTACCAAACGAACACCTCTTTCCCAACAAAAAAAACCCATTTAGTTTACTTTCCCCTGGATTGTTGCACAGTTCTGTTCCTCACAGGGGGGCGGGGGAAGGAAATGAAATTATAACCTGCCACCAAGTCAGATAATTCATTTCTTGGAAAGACAGCGCCTGGATCATCTGATATTTAGCCATTTCAGCTAGGGACAGCCATTACATATAAACCGGTTTAAGAGATAAGAAATTGGTTTCAACCTGTAACAGACATAAGTTCAGTGTACATCAACCAGCTTCAGAATGACTAAAACTGGTTTAAGATAAACCTAACTGAATATAGTACCAGACTTAACTGATTTGGGTCAAACCGGTTTATG